CCTAGCTCAAAGACTGAACAACTACAATATGGTATTATAGTTAATACATAAAATAAGTGGAGTATGGGTTGGAGTCTGGATATTTCTTTATTGAAATGAGATTTGACCTATATTTTTTAAATGAATTTAAAGGTTTTAAACATTGTCTCTGGTAGTTGCAGAAACCAGAACTTGAAATTTCAGAGATTTAAATGTAGTAAAACATAATTAAAAGTACATAGTTTCTGCATGGGTTCTGAAAGTTGCAGAATTAAAAGCAGTAAAGCCTCTTGGAGAATTTTTGTTATCATTTAAAACTCTTAAAACCTTAACATAATTAATTTGCAAAATCTTGCTTTTCATTTTCTATTTTTTGTTTTAATTTCAAAAATAATATGTACTCAATATTTCTTGTAAAATAGAAATAATAAAGTGACATGTACATTACAATTTTGACACTATTCAGAAGGCTTTCATGCTGGCTCTATATATGTTTACCAATTGGTTGTTGTTGTTGTTAAGTGCCCTCAAGTCAGTTCTGACTCATAGTGACCCTGTGCACAGTAAAGCAACGCACTGCCGGTTCCTGCACCATCTGGTAGTTGTTATGTTTGGACACATTGTTGTTGCCAGCATGTCAGTCTGCCTTGTTGGGGGTCTTATTCTGTTTTCACTGCCCCTCCAAGCATGATGTTCTCCTCCAGGGACTGATCCCTCCTGATGAAATGTCCAAAGCATGAGAGATGAAGTCTCATCATCCTTTATTCTAAAGAGCATTCTATGCCTGTACCTTCTTCCAAAACAGATTTCTTTGTTCTTCTTGTAGCCCGTGGTATTTTTCAGTATTCTCCAACACCATAATTCAAATGCATCAATTTTTACATGTATGTGAGAGATTTGGATCAGGTGCACCTTAGTCCTCAAACTGATACCTTTGCTTTTTAACACTTTAAAGAGGTCTGGTGCAACACGTTTTCTTAATAAGCATGGCATTTGATTTCTTGACTGCTGCTTCCATGAGTGCTGACTGTGGATCCAAGTAAAATCAAGTCTTTGACAACTTCAGTCTTTTCTCTGGTCATAGTGATAATTGTTTATTGGTCCTGTTGTGATGATTTTATGTCTTTACATTGAGGTGCAATCCATACTGTATGTCTTTGATCTTTATCAGTAAGTATTTGGAGTCCTCTTCCTTCTAGCAGACAAGGTTGTATCATCTGCATACCACAGACTGTTAATGAGTCTTCCTCCAATCTTGATGCCACATTTTTCTTCATATAATCCAGCTTCTTAGATTATTTGCTCAGCATACAAAGAAGTCCTTGTGTCACACTGTAGGATCAGCACTGGACTACTCATCACAGGTTAGTGGTTCAAACTCCTTGAAACCCTGTGCAGGGTCGTTAGGAGTCGAAACTGAACACCTAACAACAGATTGAATAAGGTTAAAAGGTTACAACCCTGGCACATACCTTTTCAGATTTTAAACCATTCAGTATCCTCTTGTTCTTTTCAAATGACTGCCTCTTGGTCTATGTACAGGTTCCTCATGAGCACAATTAAGTATTCTGGAGTACCCATTCTTTGTAATGTTGTCTATGGTTTGTTGTGATCCACACAGTCAAATACCTTTGTGTAGTCAATAAAGCACAAGTAAACATCATTTTGGTATTCTCTGCTTTTAGCCAAGATCCATCTGACATCCGCAATGATGTCTCTAGTTCCACGGCTCCGCCTGAATCCAGCTTTAACTGTTGTTTAATTATGTTCAGTTTGCAGACCAGCGTTCATCCTACAAGTCTACCTCACACCCTGGGTAGCACAGTCGTCTCCATGCAGTAGTCACAGAACTAGGAAAGCTATTGAAATGATATGCTATATGTAGGAAAGGTTAAGAAATTGGGTTTCAGGGATTTCTACTTTCAAGTGCCAGCTAAACAGACAGATAAAGATGAGGATCTCTCAGTCAAGCAAACAGATTAAAGTGCCAGTCTTGGGATCTGAAGAACTGTGATAAAGATTTAGGATTCTTTTATGTTAAAGTGATAATTAGAGCCTAAAACTCGATGTGATTACCAAAGGAAACAGTAGCCATAGGTGATGGATAATTTTTATAATTATTTACTTAAGGTATTTATTCACAATTATTTACTTAAGTGTTCATTGGACATTCTTTAATAAAATGTTCTCTCTTTGATTAATTTTGCGTGCTGTCTTGATATATATATCATAGAGATTCTTTTGTCATTGTTAGGTGCCATCGAGTCGGTTCTGACTAAAAGTGACTCTGTATACACAACAGAACAAAACTCTTCACAGCCCTGTGCCATCCTCACACTTGTTACGCCCGTCAGTCTCATTAGGGGTCTTCCTCTTTTTCACTGATCTTCCACTTTAACCAGCATGATATTCTTTTCCAGGGATTGGTCCCTTCTGATAACAAGTATGAAGTCTGAGAGACAAAATCTCGCCATCCTGATTGTTAAGGAGCATTCAGGCCTTACTTCTTCCAACACAGATTTTTTTGTGTCATGTGGCAGTCCATGGTACTATCAATATTCTTCTCCAACTCTATTACTCAACTGCATCAGTTCTTTTATGGACTTCCTGATTCATTGTTCAACTTTCATATGTATCTGAGGCGACTGAAAATACCATGGTTTTGGTCAACAGTACCTTAGTTCTCAAACTGACATCTCTGCTCTTGAACACTATAAAAAGGTCTTACGCAGTAGATTTCCCTAATGTAATACATTGTTTGATTTCTTGGCTGCCGTTTCCAAGTGTTGGTTGTGAATCCAAGCAAAATGAAGTCTTTGACAACTTAAATCTTTTCTTCATGTATCATGGTGTTATTTATTGGTCCAGTAGGGAGGACTTTTGTTTTGTTTACATTGAGGTGCAACCCATACTGAAGGCCGTGATCTTTGATCTTTATAAATATTTATTTTAAGTTCTCTTTGCTTTCAGCAAGCAAGGTTCCATCATCTGCATATTGCAGGTTGTTAATAAGTCTTTCTCCAATCATGATGCCACATTCTTCTTCATATAATCCATATAATCATATAATTATTTGCACAGCATACAGATTAACTGAATATGGTGAAAGAATACAACCCTGGCACACACCTTTCCTGATTTTAAACCAGTCAGTGTTCCCTTGTTTTATCCAAAATGACTGCCTCTTGCATTGTGTATAAAAGTTCCTTGTGAGTACAATTAAGTGTTCTGGAATTCTTTGCAGTGTTTTCCATAGTTGCTCATGATCCACACAGTCGAAAGCCTTTGCATAGCAAATAAAGCACAGAGATTCATAGAGTGTGGAAAGGGACATGATAAAATGAAAAAGAAAAAGATTCATATATCAAATATTTCTTGCAGTTTCTATAGTGGTACAAGCACCAAGCTAGGTATTGGGGACGAAGTAGTGAGCAAATCAGACACTGCCTCTGTTGTTGTTAAGTTGCTTCTGACTCGTACACACACACACACTCACACACACGAAGATAAGTCAAAAATTATCTGCATTCTGTTTTAGAAAAGACAAATACATCATTGTTCGACATAATCTCCTTGCTTTTCAATACACTTTCTCCATCAGTCAACAAGCTTTCATATTCCCTTATTAAAAAATGTTTCAGGCTGAGCTGCAAGCCACAAATACACCACTGTCTTCACTTCTTCATCAGAGGTAAATCTTTGTCCTCAAGGACTACATATGTTCAGGGCACCAAACAGGTGAAAGCAATGGAGCAAGATCAGGACAATAGGGAGGATGGTTAACACCTCAAAAGGAAGAGGTTTGAGGATGTGCATTGTCATGCAAGATCACAGTGCATTTAATCCCAAATTTAGGCTTCAGCTCTTCAGTGAGCATCTCACTGTAACAAGCAGTGGTGCTTGTTGGACCTTTTTCCTGATAGTGTTCCAGTACTGTCCCTTGTAAGCATAAATTTTCTAGCTGATGTTTGACTTTCCATAGTCTTCCATTTACGCTCAGGCATGTCTCATCACCAGTAATGATTTTT